ATAAGGTTTGACCCCTTCAACTATTTAGCTGCAGGATGGTCTAGATGAATAAGGTTGTACCCCTTCAACTATTTAGCTGCAGGATTGTCTAGATGAATAAGGTTGTACTCCTTCAACTATTTAGCTGCAGGATGGTCTAGATGAATCAGGTTGTACCCCTTCAACTATTTAGCTTCAGGATGTTCTAGATGAATAAGGTTTACCCCTTCAACTATTTAGCTGCAGGACGGTCTAGATGAATAAGGTTGTACCCCTTCAACTATTTAGCTGCTGGATGGTCTAGATTTATAAGGTTGTGCCCCTTCAACTATTTAGCTGCTGGGTGGTCGAGATGAATAAGGTTGTACCCCTTGAACTATTTAGCTGCAGGATGGTCTAGATGAATAAGGTTGTACCATTTCAACTATTTAGCTGCAGGGTTGTCTAGATGAATAAGGTTGTACCCCTTCAACTATTTAGCTGCAGGATGGTCTAGATGCATAAGGTTCCACCCCTTGAACTATTTAGCTGCAGGATGGTCTAGATGCATAAGGTTGTACCCCTTCAACTATTTAGCTGCAGGATGGTCTAGATGAATCAGGTTGTACCCCTTCAACTATTTAGCTACAGGATGTTCTAGATGAATAAGGTTTACCCCTTCAACTATTTAGCTGCAGGACGGTCTAGATGAATAAGGTTGTACCCCTTCAACTATTTAGCTGCTGGATGGTCTAGATTTATAAGGTTGTGCCCCTTCAACTATTTAGCTGCTGGGTGGTCGAGATGAATAAGGTTGTACCCCTTCAACTATTTAGCTGCAGGGTGGTCTAGATGCATAAGGTTGCACCCCTTCAACTATTTAGCTGCTGAATGGTCTAGATTTATAAGGTTGTGTCCCTTCAACTATTTAGCTGCTGGGTGGTCGAGATGAATAAGGTTGTACCCCTTCAACTATTTAGCTGCAGGATGGTCTAGATGCGTAGGTTTGTACCCCTTCAACTATTTAGCTACAGGATGGTCTAGATGAATAAGGTTGTGCCCCTCAACTATTTAGCTGCAGAATTGTCTAGATGAATAAGGTTGTAGCCCTTCAACTATTTACCTGCAGGATGGTCTAGATGCGTAAGGTTAGGATGGTCTGCATAGGTGAAGTTGTTCTATTTGACCATGTTATATTCTGAAAGTTTCAATGTTATGTCGGACTTTGTGCTCCGTGAATTTTATCAAGTATGAAGATGAAGCCTTATTTGTGGTTTTTTTTTCTAGTTCCAAGTGGAGCAAAACACACAGTGCGGCTACAAAATGCGCTGTATCAAACAGAACTCGCAGTGTCCTTCGGTGAGATTTTCAAAATTTTATTTCCTTTTTGAACTCGTTGCACACTGCCATCGATACTGTTGAGCGTTTTATATTATGTATCAGCAGGTCTATTCTACGCTGTTTTTAAATTATCGCCCTCTAGTCGTTATTTCTTTGGAATGCTCCTTTTTTCTTACCATGCGAAAAAAATTATTCTTTCGTGGACTCTATCTTCCAGGGATACTGAACACTATTTCTTTTGGTGCCTGTTCTTATCAAAACATCACATAACTAGTATGTCGATTAAAACTTCTTGCACCTCCATGCTACCATATAGAGAATTTACCTGCATAGAAATATATTTCCCACCTCAGGGTAGCAGGTTAGACTTATATTCGAAACATATATTCGAAATTTAGTTCTAATTGACAGATTTTACCTCGATAATTGCTTTGAGGAGATCAGAGATATGGTCGATAGACATTAGCCTTTCCTTGACTTTGACTTTCAGTATGGTGGATGACTTAAGAATCATGTCTGAACCCCATTTTAAAGTGTCAGAAGAAAACATTCGGTTTATCAAATTTACACAATTATCAACTACTAATGTATGTTAAATTTTCATTAATCAAGTGCTCTTTAAATGGAGGATATCTTGCACCAGAATCTTCTAGTCTCGTTTTTATAATTTTTCTTGTGATTACTCGAGCCTAGATCGGCTGTTCATAGGCTTTGGGTTTGCCAGGGCCTCAAGATGGGATCATGTTCTTTCTCTTAAAAGCATTACATTCAGTTGTTTCCAGATCATTCAATTCAATACTTGATGCAGAACGTGTTTATTTTGATTGTATAACAGTTTTGTATAAAACCGCTTTTTGCCTTTCACTTTGCATGCGTTATAAAGTTTTGTCGACCTTTTCCGCTTTTTACACAGGTTAAATGTCCTATGCATCCATGGAGTCGCATTGCAATTTGACAGCCATTTGAATTATGGATTAAAAATGAGCTTAAGAATTCTTTTAAAGGCAATTGACAGGCATAAGTACAGTGAATTCAAAAATAACTTAATTGATCAGAGCACGCGCACAAGAAAGGAATTTAAAACTGCTCACGTGGAAACACTGCGCGCTGTTCTAGGATTTTACCGATTTGCAAAAAGGCGGAAACTGTTCACTTGTTTTTCTCTGTGCGCAATTTGATTGGTCAACCGCTCGTGGTCGAGTGGTTGTAAGCCACTTTTGCCTATGTCGAATACCTTTAAATAGCAGAGCAAGAAGCCTCATATTTCAGCCCATTAACACAATGCTGCATAATCTCTGCGTGCTAGGATGCGAATTATAATCGTCTTAAGAAACTGAATTTGGCAAATTAGACTCAAAGTCTATGGTCTTTTTCATGATTTAACAGTAAATGGCTTTGAGAAAATTTTATTTTTCTCTTTTGTGAAAATTATTATTATGTAGAAGACAGAAAAAAAGACAAGTTATCAACTTGTTATGTATAAATTGTAGTTTGGGTGATTGAAAGACACAAAATGTGTTCTGAGAGCTGTTGTATTTTTATTGTTCTTAATTTGTGAAACATTTGCTTAATTTATATTTTAAAACAATCCGTCTTAAATAAATTTGCATCGGACTATATGGCTCATAATTTAGGGCCGAAACTCCATTCTAATATAACCCACAACGACGATTATAAGGATAACCCACAACGACGATCATTCAATATCAATAGGGAGAGGTGTAGTGATTTGTATCAAATGGCCAATGGTTTCAGATCGTTCTTTTTGACTGCAATCAACCACATCAAATCACAAGGTCTGCGCCTTACCAAAATTGCATGGCGTCAACCGATTTGTGTGATCTTTAAAACTAGAAAAGCATTTTGCTTCAAAGAGGTAGGAGATCTGTAAACTCATTAAACAGCTATAAAAAACGAAATCAGCCGGATGTGACGATCTGTCAGTTGTTTTCCTTGAGGACGTCACAAGCCGTTATCCCACTCCGGAAAATGATCCCTGGATCGGATCAGATCGAGTTGGTGTGACTCGTTTTGTTCGATCCGCGGGTCGTTTCGGATTGGAATGTAAACGACATTTGTGACCACGGGATCCTTGCCATATAACGCAAGTGCTCTATTGTTTGCAGTGTTCTCATTCGATCAATAGAAAACTACTGTACCAGAACGGTTCCAAAAAGGTGAAATCTTTTCAACTTTTTTTCAATCCATTTCGTTCCGTTGCAGATCAAAAAAATGCAGCCATTTGTCTACTTTTGCATCCAAAGCCTGTGTGTAGCACGAAATCTGATCTGATCCGCGGGTCATTTTACGGCGTTGGTTTTCAGCTTCACTTGCATTATAAACCTCTCAATCAGAAGAAGTGGAGTCGTATCAACGGAAATCTCAGCTGGGTTCACACCAGATTACACACCTAGCCAGCGTTCTAAACTTGCCTTTCATCAGGGTTTTCTCAAGGATTGATCTTTGGATCGGTATTATAGAAAACTCCATTGTAATGAATTATGAAGACGTTATAGTGTTCCATGTTCTTCGAAAATCTGCTACTGGTGTCAGTGAGAAACTTTACAGTGACCTCAGTAGGCTGAACGAACAGTTCCATGAAAATGTATTCATCATTAATCTCAGTGAAGGAAAAACTAAAGCTCTTCTGTTTGAAACCGCTATGAAAGTAGTGAATGGTTCACCAAATTGTAGCATCAGCGTAAACGACCAGGAGAAAACAAAAACTACGAGCTGGAAGTACCTTAAAGTCCCTATTGATAGTTCACTGAATATGGAAAGTTTTTTGACAAGTGCTGCCAAAGGTTTCCTCTCGACTCAATCTCCTTGCAAAACTACAAGGAGTATTGGATGTTAAAGCAGCCAATAATAATTACCAAAACATGATTTTACCAATGTTCTCTACTTGTGCTACCCTCCTGCTTTGCAACACAATTACCCAGCCAGTCACCATGGATTTTGTTCACAGTAGAGCCGGAATCATCGTGAATGGAAACTTGGTCTACAAAGTCACACCACAGTTTGTTACAAATGTCTGTATCTTTGTTAGATCATGCCTAGATGATTGCGTCATTGATTCTTTGAGAAATTACTTTCTGATGATAGCAGAGTTCAAACGGACAAAAAACTGTTCAATAATGATGTCTTCCAAGTACCAAGACAGAATATGCTAGAAAAATGTTTCCATGCACGGGTACAAAAAGTACAAAATGCTCCCATTTGAAACTCGTGAAATGCCAATAACTGATTTTTCCCTTTTTTAACAATCGTTTTAGTTAAAATGCGCTGATACGTTTATTGTTAAAAAATATTTTAAGTAAATTCTCGATAAGGTATTGCTTACTTTAGGTTTGGTTTTATTTTATTTTTCTTTCTTTATGTTGATAATTTTTTTTTATTTTCATATTTTTTAATGTATTTCTATAATTCTGCCAGGCCCATGAAAGAAGAAACAAAATCTATACTACTGGATGTGTTGATGCGACTATTGATCTCTTTCTTTCAAAGAATAACCTTTACTATTTCATTGGTGCTGGTGCGGGACTCATTGTTTTGCAAGTATGTGTTTTTGTTTTCTAAGACCAATGCTTTGTTTCTTTGCCGAATCTGTTCAAAATATTAAATGTTTCACTACCTTTCATTACATTTTGTTGCTAAATATGCTGACCAACATGGATTGAGTGAAAGCATTTATCAAAGTACTCAACGCTGTATGGGGTAAAGCAGAATTATTCAGCAGAAGTGGTTGTATGACAACGACAGCTAAATGTCACCTTCTAGCGTCGTCCGTTTTTTCAGCTTGTAACAACTGGCCTGGCTCATTCGTTGATCAATGGAGTCAGAACTCAACTGATGAAGCAACAGAGAGAAGCAAAAAGAGTGCATGGATTTGGTAAGATAATATTGTTCTTTCATAGTCATTGTCTAGAGAAATTCTTAGATAATATTTACCATTCCATTAAGCAGGAATACCATTTTCATTTTTCGCGGTTTACTTTCATATTTCATATTCACCAAACGCGGTTTACGGAACACATTCAAAGTACCCACGCCAAACACCTACCGAAGGCTGTTATGGTAATCAAACTGAACGCTGTTATGGTATGCATACTAAATACTGTTTGGGTATGCACATCAAAAATCTTTGTGGTATGGCATGCACACCGTTTTCTGCTTTGGTTTATACATCAAATGTTGTTATGGTATGCACACCAAACGCTTTTATGGTGTGCTCACCAGGTACTGTTATGGTATTTTCACCAAACGCTGTTGTGTTATGCACATGGAACGCTTTTAGGTTGCTCAGCAAACGCGATTATGGTATGCACGCTGTGTGCTGTTTGGTAAAAACACCAAACGCTGTTTTAGTATGCACACAAAAATCTGTTATTAGCTATATGCACACCAAGTTCTGCTATGGTATGCACATCATGTTTTATATGTGTTTTTCCTGCTAATGATAGAGACAAGGGACACAAACACTTTTGGTATTGCCATGATTTAGACCCCGTTTACACTGTGCCCATTTAAATTTAAATTATATCCGCATCCAAATTAGTTCAGATAGGCGGCCCGTTTACACTAGACCCACGCTATCCGCACGATTTTGAGAACGACTATCCGAACAAAATTAGTTCACTTAGGAAGGTGGATTAAATTGGTTCGAATAGCTATGTGGTACAGTGTAAACGCTTTTATCCGGATAAATTTTATCCACATCGTATCTTGCTCGAAAGCTAGTGGCTATTTCATTCAATTTTGTTTTCACTGTCTCCCAATCAAGACCGTTCGCCATCTTGGCTGCCATATTGTCGATAAATACTCGTGTTAAGAGTGCAGTGACTTGCCAGTCCATGTAAAATTGGCATCCTTATCAGCTTTCCATACTTTCGTTGCTAGTTCAGTATCATTTTGTTTCAAGAACAAACTATTGAAACAAACTAGGCCTTATTTGTTTTGACAATATCTTTGGATTTGGTCTAAAAGAGAAGCAGATGATTCTGAGGAGAGTATGAAGTCTTTTTTTACGTTGGCGGGAATTTTGTTATTATTTTGTTGCCCAGAGAAGACTTCATTTTGGGCGTTCTGTGCATGATTTAGGTCATGTGACTGCAGCTATCCGGCACAGTGTAAACGGGAGGGCAAAGTGGACAAAATTTGTGCGGCACAGTGTAAACGCAAATCAATCCGAACAAGTTTTATGCGGATAAATTTTATCCGGTACAGTGTAAACGGGGTCTTAGGAAGACCTCCATTCTGTGCGAGGTTTGAAGCATTTACTGCTCATGAAGCAAATAAACCTGAAGTTCATTGTTACAGTTGGATTTTAGTCGTGATTTGTGAATACTATAGAAAGTATGTCATCCGAACGAAAAAGTACACTTAGAAGATAAATTAGGCACCCTTTGATCTCTTTGCTATGTGAAGCAAATTTTCTTAAGAATGCACAAAATAAGCTGAAATTTTCATGTAAGAAATTTTTGCTTAATATATTGCTACAAATATTGCTGTCTACACATTAGAATATGGTTGTCTGCAATGTAAACAGTGCATTTAAAGTATAGTTTACATCTCTAATATAAGAGAAAAACATTTTGTATGACGATAAGAGCATTTTGCCGTATTTTGATGTGGGATTTTTCTGTTCTTTCGTAGACAATACAGCATTTAACCGTTGAATGAAGAGGCCATTGCCAGTTGATTCTGGTCGTTTTCGTACAAGTGTCCTGCTGTTTATATTGCTCTAGCATTTAGCTGGACTTTCGATTTTGTAAAAAGGACTTCATTTGAATTAAGGTATGTTTATATACAGTTTTGAGCCAACATTTAGCTTCTCTTCAGAGAATCAACAACTCGGCGAAGAAATATTTTGACAAAGGAAGATGTTTTAAGGTCTGAGAAGGATTTTTCGTGTGGTTTTTTAAATCGATGATGATATCTGAATGTAAATGTTTAGTCTCTTGACAAAACTGGTTCTATTTGCAAATAGTTTCCTACGTAAAAATATAATGTCCAATTATCTCCAATTAATCACTTAATTTATGTTTTTTAAGTATCTGTGATGATATAATATCACCTATTAGATAAGCACATAAAATTCGATTATATTTCTTCGTCGAATTCTGTTAACAGTGAAGTATAAATTGCTAGTAACAATTCTTCTTAGTACGTTTCTTTCAAATATTTTTAGTTTTTCATTTTCATTCATATATAATTTCAGAAAAAATAGCAAAGCTGGAAATTCGACAAAAATTTATTACTAACGAATCGGCATCTCTGTTTTGCGAGACATCTCTGTTAATTATTTTCTTAATAGATTATTCATACTACATACGGCATCTTAATGACTTCATAACCGTTTTCAGCAAAAACTTCTTTTCACAGAGTTTTGAGTCAAAAAAAATTTCTTAGCCTATAGGCTTGCTTTATTGCATACATGGGTTGTTTGTAAATTGAAAAAAATGCCCAAAATATGATTCAAAATGAATCGAAAAATGCCAAAAGAGCCAGTAGCCTTTTTTAATAAAAACCGAGTGTTTTAGATAAAAACTTTTTTGTTCTAAAAATTACTTAAAGGTGATTTTGAAAAGAACTGCGTGTAGTTTAACTTACATGGAACATTTCTGTTCTTTTCAATTGTTTCTCGTCAGTTTTGAGTGAAAGATTTTCCTTAAAAATCAATATTTTTCCAAGCCCCTAGGCTTGCTCCTTTTTCTGAAATCGGCTGTTTTTATTGGAAATTTTTTGTTCTCAAATTGCCTTAAAAACTGATTTAAAATGAATCTTTGTGTATTTTAAAACTGATTTCCTGTGAGTATTGAAGAGAAAAATATTCGATAAAAATTCGTCATTTTACTAAGCCTAAAGCATTGCTTGTTGGCAAAAAGTCAACTGTTCTTTATTAAAATTATTTTTGTCCTAGAAGTGTCTTGAAAGTGATTTTCGAAGAAACAACAGTTAACTAATCCTAGGCTTGCTTTTTGCCTTGTAAGGACTGTTACTAGTAGGAATTTTTTTGTTCTAAACAAGACTAAAAAATTTTTTTTAATGAAACTTTGTGTTTTTGGTTGCTACGCACGACTATCAAAATCGACCTCACTTGGTACAAACCCATCCTTAAAAAGCTACACATAAATTCCTCAGTGCTGCCCAAACCAAAAAATCAAAGCAGCTTTTTAACTAGAACTGTAAAACAGGTTTGGAACCCCTCCTGGAGTTAGACGATGTAAATCCAGATTAGCTTGATCAGAAACTGGCATCAGAGATAATCGAATTACTCAACAAATTTATTCTAAAATCAACAAAAACATCCTGCCTGAATGCGTGAACTCACTGTCGATGCCGTCATAAGGAAGAAGGACACTCGCAAACAGTATTGCAACCACTCAATTCCAGTACAAAGTTGAAGTCGAGAAACTGGTGAAAAAAGACAAGCTTGCCAAACTAGAAGAGGGTTGTGCCGCCCTGTGCTCTCTTCTTGCTGACAAACAGTTCCACGCTGCAGTAAAAGCCCTGAAAATGAAAAAAAGCAACGGGCAAACTTCTTACAGGAAAAGATGACATCTTTGAAAGATGGGCAGACTTTTACGAAAAGCTGTATATAGATGAAACTCAGACGACCGACTCTAACCCAAAGGACCTTCCAGATATTCCACCTATCCTTAAGGAAGAGGTAGAGAAAAAACCAAACAGCTGCAACCAGGTAAAGTGATGGGGAAGTGATATCTAAAGCTCTAACGAAACTATTCAACGTGATTTTGAAAACTGGTAAAATACCTAAAGCTTTAAACGAGGCAGTAATTGTTGTCTTATATAAAAAAAGGCGACCGCAGAGAATGCTCTAATTACAGACCCGTAAGTCTTCTTAGTCAAATCTACAAACTGTTCATGTGCATAATCAAAAGAACGCATTCAAGATGAAAGAAGCACTATCGAGCAAATCATCTGCCTGGAACAACTCATCGAGAAATCGTTGGAGTTCAACAAACCCCGCCACATTGTCTTTGTTGACTTTTCAAAGGCCATCGACAGCATAAAACTACCTGCTCTGTACTCTCTTCTAGACGAAACATCAATCAACAAAACTTACATCCACCTTCTGAAGATTACTTATCAAGGCTCCAAAGCCTCCCTTAAGTGTGACCTTGGTACTTCTTTGTTGTTCTGTATCGTCATAGTAGCCCTTATACTCCAAACAGAGAAGGAGACCGCTACAAACGATCAGGATTCCGGGTACATTATGGGGGGCATGTTTCGTCGAACCTGGGAAAAGCCGATTACCTAGGAATTACAAATTCAGATCGCCAAAAACTCCAGATCTTAATTGACACCTTCTCAAATACAGCTGCAGAAGTAGATTTACAAAAAAACATAACTAAAACGGAATTTTATTTCAACTGCAAAAGACAACACTCAACTCAACATCACCATAAATGGAGAGCGCATAAAGCAGGTCAACGAGTTCGTGTATCTAGGCCATGAACTGTCCTGTACCAACCACCAATCTATGGTTGTGCAACACAGGATAACCCTAGGCTGGACAGCGTTCAGCAAATAACACCACATGTGGAAGTTCAAATAGATCATAAATATTCCAAATCAGTTTGAAATACAGATTCATTTGAAAACATTTTTTGGGCATTTCTTTATCAAAAAATTTATTATCAAAAACAGTCGATTTTCTGCAAAAAAACTTAGGCCATAGGCTTAGATATATAATCATTTTTGACCAAAAGTTATTTCTCTTCAAAACTCGTAATTGATGTTCCAAGTCGCTTTAAAATATACGTAGATTTTATTTTAAACCCTTTTTAGCAAAAAATCAAGGTTATTGGCTGAGGTAAATAACCATTTTTGACCAAGCTTTTTTCCCTTTCAAAACTGATCATTTATGTTCCAAATCATTTTAAAATAAACGTAGATTTGTTTTAAGACACATTTTGGTACTTTTTGATCAAGAAATTTTCTGTGAAAAACTGCCGATTTTTGGCAAAAAGCAAGGTTATAGGCTTAGGAAAATATTCATTTTTGACCAAACTTTTTTCTCTTCAACACTGATCATTTATGTTCCAAATCACTTTAAAATACACGTAGGTTTGATTTGAAACACTTTTTAGGTACTTTTTAATCAAAAATTATTGTATAAAAACTGACGATTTTTGGCAAAAAGCAAGATTATAGGCTTAGGAAAATAATCATTTTTGACAAAAGTTTTTTCCCTTCAAAATTGATCATTTATGTTCCCAATCATTTTAAAATACACTTAGATTTGTTTTGAAACACTTTTTAGGTACTATTTGATGAAAAAAATTTTCTGTGAAAAACTGCCGATTTTTGGCAAAAAGCAAGGTTATAGGCTTAGGAAAATAACCATTTTTGACCAAGCTTTTTTCCCTTTCAAAACTGATCATTTATGTTCCAAATCATTTTAAAATACACGTAGATTTGTTTTAAGACACATTTTGGTACTTTTTGATCCAAAGATTTTCTGTGAAAAACTGCCGATTTTTGGCAAAAAGCAAGGTTATAGGCTTAGGAAAATAAACATTTTTGACCAAGCTTTTTTCCCTTTCTAAACTGATCATTTATGTTCCAAATCATTTTAAAATACACGTAGATTTGTTTTAAGACACATTTTGGTACTTTTTGATCAAAAGATTTTCTGTGAAAAACTGCCGATTTTTGGCAAAAAGCAAGGTTATAGGCTTAGGAAAATAACCATTTTTGACCAAGCTTTTTTCCCTTTCTAAACTGATCATTTATGTTCCAAATCATTTTAATATACACGTAGATTTGTTTTGAGACACATTTTGGTACTTTTTGATCAAAAAATTTTCTGTGAAAAACTGCCGATTTTTGGCAAAAAGCAAGGTTATAGGCTTAGGAAAATAACCATTTTTGACCAAGCTTTTTTCCCTTTCAAAACTGATCATTTATGTTCCAAATCATTTTAAAATACACGTAGATTTGTTTTAAGACACATTTTGGTACTTTTTAATCAAACAATTTTCTGTGAAAAACTGCCGATTTTTGGCAAAAAGCAAGGTTATAGGCTTAGGAAAATAACCATTTTTGACCAAGCTTTTTTCCCTTTCAAAACTGATCATTTATGTTCCAAATCATTTTAAAATACACGTAGATTTGTTTTAAGACACATTTTGGTACTTTTTGATCAAAAAATTTTCTGTGAAAAACTGCCGATTTTTGGCAAAAAGCAAGGTTATAGGCTTAGGAAAATAACCATTTTTGACCAAGATTTTTTCCCTTTCAAAACTGATCATTTATGTTCCAAATCATTTTATTATACACGTAGATTTGTTTTGAGACACATTTTGGTACTTTTTGATCAAAAAATTTTCTATGAAAAACTGCCGATGTTTGGCAACAAGCAAGGTTATAGGCTTAGGAAAATAACCATTTTTGACCAAGCTTTTTTCCCTTTCAAAACTGATCATTTATGTTCCAAATCATTTTAATATACACGTAGATTTGTTTTGAGACACATTTTGGTACTTTTTGATCAAAAAATTTTCTATGAAAAACTGCCGATGTTTGGCAAAAAGCAAGATTATAGGCTTAGGAAAATAACATCTTTTGACCAAAAGTTTTCCCCTTCGAAAGTTATCATTGATGTTTCGAATCACTTTAAAATACACTTAGACACTTTTTGTTAAAAAAATCTGCTATGAAAAACTGCCGATTTTTGGCAAATAAGCAAGGTTATAGGCTTAGGAAAATAACCATTTTTGACCAAGCTTTTTTCCCTTCAATATTTATCATTAATGTTCAAATCACTTTAAAATACGCGTAGATTTATTTTGAAACACTTTTTATGTACTTCTTGATCAAAAAATCATTTTAGGAAAATAATCATTTTTGACCATCAAACTTTTTCCCTTCAAAACTTATCATTAATGTTCCAAATCACTTTAAAATGAACTTAGATTTGTTTTGAAACACTTTTTAGGTACTTCTTGATAAAAAAATCTGCTATGAAAAACTGCCGATTTTTGGCAAATAAGCAAGGTTATAGGCTTAGGAAAATAATCATTTTTGACAAAAGTTTTTTTCCTTCAAAATTGATAATTGATGTTCCAAATCATTTTAAAATACACCTAGATTTGTTTTGAAACACTTTTTAGGTACTATTTGATGAAAAAAATTGTCTGTGAAAAACTGCCGATTTTTGGCAAAAAGCAAGGTTATAGGCTTAGGAAAATAACCATTTTTGACCAAGCTTTTTTCCCTTTCAAAACTGATCATTTATGTTCCAAATCATTTTAAAATACACCTAGATTTGTTTTGAAACACTTTTTAGGTACTATTTGATGAAAAAAATTTCTGTGAAAACTGCCGATGTTTGGCAAAAAGCAAGGTTATAGGCTTAGGAAAATAACCACTTTTGACCAAACTCTTTTCCCTTCAAAACTTATCATTAATGTTCCAAATCACTTTAAAATACTCTTAGGCTCACTTGAAAACATTTATTGGGCAGTTTTTGATCAAAGCATTTTCTATGTAAGTCAATTTTTGGCAAAAAGACAAGGCTATATATAGCATGGCAGTGAATAGAGAATCATTTTTTGAAGAAATAATTTTTCAGGCAGACGATTTTCATGTAAGCTTACAACCTTACGTTTCTTGCAAAATTGCACGGTTGAAAAATGACTTTTTATGGCATCTTTATGACTTATCGTCTTTTTTCATAATTTTTGAAAAAAGGCATGATTGCCTCTGACTGATCCTTAAATCATCAAGCCATCTAAACCACTTCTTCTTGCGAGTTTCAAGGCTTCTAGAGTTCAAAAATTGAATTGTACCAAATTCTTAAGTCCTCACAATACTTTTATAAATTGTTGTGGAAATTGCTGTAAAATAACCTGCAGACTTTCCCAGTTTTGACCAACAAATTTACTTGTTCTTATCTTAGCTGACATTGGTTTAACCGCGAAAAACATATTAACACACGTTTGCTACCCTACCTTGAGTCAGCATCAAGTACTTTGAAACTTAGACCCAAACATAAAGCTTCTTTAAATTAAATGTTTTTAAGGTTCAAAATCGTTTGTTTGAATTCATTCAGATACTGCTTCGAAAGACAGAAAAATGACAATTGGCAGCACAACCTTTGCTGAAATTATTTATCAAATGAAACAGGTGCGGGTTCAAGTGGAACAGATGCATAGTTTCTTGTAAAACTTCGAGTTTGTAGTTGACAATTTCTCACCGATCAAACTTTTACTTAATTTGCTACTTCCAGCCAATTGTAGCATGAAAGTAATAAAATACCTAGACGTGAAATTTCGTTGTTAATCCTTATGAACTGTTTCAACCAGCTCCAATTCATAGGAAGGGTTACAGGATTGAGAAAAGTGCTTCTTTTGGTGTTTCTAACACTACCTAATTTTAAAAGTGAATCCAATGTTCTACCTTATCATCCATAATGAAGTAAGTGATGTATTTAAAAAATGGACTCGATTTTGTAATCAGATGAATAAGAGATATCAAAATGAATAAGAGATACCAAAATGAATAAGAGATATCAAACAAGACATTCAAAGATTACCAGGACAATGACGTACATCCAAACATTTGTGCAGTTTATAACAAGGAAGATTAAGCATTACAATAAACAAAATAATGCAACTTAGAGGCAAGGCTTTTGCCAGGGGCTGCTCTCACGACTAACCTACTTATCACTGGACAGAGTAAACAACTCGAAGAAAATGCCTTGACAAAATACAACAGTGTAAATAGTCACTGACACAGTTTAAAACTGCTACATAAAACAACCTTAGCCTTATGGGCTTTCTTAAGGAGCAATTATTAGGTATGATAATGTTTTTCACTGTCATTTTTATGGTTTGATCAAACAAATATGACATGACCAAACATATCAGGTAAGGCAGATGCATTTTTATTTCACAAAAAAACAGAAGGTGATATGTTCTGGGTGCGAGCAGTGAAGAAAATGCAATAAATTGTGATAATAAATTTGAAAGAGGGTGCAATAGTGGACATTTTACTTTATTCTCTCTTTTGTGAGTAAAAGCAATAGAAGGGACTTTGAGTTACCTAGCACTAATTTGCCCTATACTAACATGATTTCATAAGGTAGTACATCGTGAGAACTATCTCTTGCTTTGGTTTTATAACAGAACAGGAAAGACAGAAAAGGGACAGGTTACCTAACAAAGGGTATTTACAATCAACAAATCTTCGACTTTTCTGTTTGAATTACATCAAGAAGTTTTTAAAGCTTTTGAATCTGCCTAAAATAGCAAAATTTACGTTATCACTCTGCTTTTAGGTATGATAACGCACAGTGATTTGATATGCTAAATACCGACCTTGTCCATGTCACATTGCATATTTCTTGGTCCACTCTTTTGCAGTTTCTGTGTACTTGCCTCTATCCGTTTTAAATGTCCTTGCTATCTCCGGTACTAATGGGTCGTCAGGGTTTGGGTCACAGAGCAAAGAGCATATGGAAAGCAGTACTGCAACACAAAGTTAAGTTTCAATGCAGATATAAATCATATAAACAAAAAAACAAAAAAGTCGATAAAAATGACAGAAACTACATGAAAATCAACTAAATCTACTCTCTGTTTTTGGTACTTAATGACTAATTCTCAACAGCTGCATTAGGAATAGAATTGCTTTAAATTTACAGAATTAAATCAAAGTTCCCAATATCATTTTAGATGCCCTCTAACAACCTCGCTACAAATGAAACTGATTTGCTTCATTGGGAAATGATGGGAAAATATTTGCATGACAAAAACTTGCATTTGCGAACATTGTTTTTAAAGATATGTCACGCAAACTCTAGATCCTTTAACTTTCTCTTCAGACTTTTGCTAGTAAAATATAATAAAAATTCAACACACCTTTTGAAATAGTTAAAGCCGGACTCCACTGTGACCTTAGTATATCAAGACAAATACTACCATTGCTGTTTATATTTGGATGGTAAATTTTGGTTGTGAATGCAACCTGCAGAAAAAACGGTTTTATTAATTGTTAAGCAAAGCTATTCTCAGGCTTTGTATCTACGCTAAAATTTTACAAAATTTTACAAGCAAACTTGTTGGATAATAAAGAGCGAAAAAATGTGTTAGAAAATCGCGGAAAGGAAGATTGATGTAAAAAGTTATAAGAACTGGTATATCAACCAGCATCATTAATAACCGACTGATTTAGAAACATTCTTCGTGTTTACAATGAATGACAAAAAGGAAGTGAAATTGCTACTTAAGACTTTTCATATAAGTTGCTAGTGAACCACAAATGAAAATACGTAAAACTACACCTTTATGTGCTTACTAGTTACCTTTGGGGGTTTAAATGGATAATCTGTTGGAAAGTGTATTGTTAAAAAAAACACTCCTCCTTGGTATGGACTTTCAGGCTGAAAAATACAATAAAAATACAACATAAGTTCTTCAGGTTTTATCACCTTTTGGTTAAAGGTCAACATAGTCAATGGAGAGCATACTTGTATGACGTTCCTTTTAACGGTGGTATTCACCAACAGGTGAGCACAGATTCTTACCAAGACAAAGATCGAAAGTTTCACAAGAGAAAAAATGGCACTTTCAATAGTCCCCTTGTCAGCAACCAATATATGATGAATAAGCAGTAGCTTTTAGCTTCTGCTCAAGCCTATATTTTTTTAACTTTGCCGTCGGCCTATTTTATCAAGCCTAATTCATTTGTGTCGGCCATTTCACTCGCTTTCTCTGTCCATTATATACCCGTTTACAATCGATATGGAAGGAGGCTAGTAGTCAAGGAAGTTTCGCAGTCTAGCATACGGCAAAATAATACTCACCTAATTCTTTATCAGCTTATTCAAGTTTAGGATCATGTGGGTAATTAAGGTATTTAAATTTCGAAACGAAAAGGAGGAAGGGGGTCTAATAGAAATAATTATTAGAGCGAGACCACAATGGCCTGGTTTAAATATTCACAGAAAGAGAAAAGTAGATTTTAATGACTCTTTGTTTATAACCAAAAACCTTTAAAATTATTTCTAAAATATGTAACAAAGCACAACGAGTTTACAGAAAATTTTGGATTAGTATGGACTGAAAACTTAAAGGCATAAAGCGTTTAAAACTGAAAGAGAATTGTATGGTCCTCTAATTAATCGCTATCCATCATTATTTTCTTATCTCAGTTTCAGTAAATCAGATCCAACTGAACAAACAAAAATTTACTGTTCAGATTTTATGTTTGTTTCCGAGTGGCAGATGTAAAACATTTTTACTGTCCCTCGTAAAAGAATCTGCATGCCTGGTTCTCTCTGCATGATAAAAAGTCATCGCCTTACTCGTCGCCAATTTTTTACAAGAAACAAAAACTCAGCACAGCTAAGAAATTTCAGCCCTCGTCGTCCAAAAATCAAAGCGATGAAGGTGATGAACATCAAAAGATTCTGACATTCATCGACTTTTCCATCGCTTATTCCTTCGTTTAACCTAACCCTCAACGAGAAGGGAATTGTTTCAATTGAATTATGACAAAAGCACATGACAAATTGAGAAAGTTTTCGTAAAGATGGGCAAGATGGCCGCAAGTAAAGACTTTTAAGGGAAAATTTGAAAAGGCCTGTGGTCAGTATAAAAAGTATTACGAAATAAACAAAGAAATGGGGTAGGTGTAGAAAATTTCGGCAACTTCAAGAACAATACAGATACAACCTACAAAGCAAGTAGGATCCTCACAAAGATTAATAATGGGAAAGGGTTTTATTCATAGATTACTAATTGCTTTCAGGGCCGCGAGAGTGAGGCAATCTGATCCAGGTCCTTGAGGTCTAGAGTGCCCTTTAGGCAGCGAATTCCATTTAGTAGAAATAATAAAATTCTTTTAACAATCGCAAGAAATGACTGCAAACAATATTTTGAACTTGAAGTAATTTTTATCCTAGTACTTTGTATTTATATCAATACTTTGTATTTTAAGGTCATGTAAAGGGCATTGTCACGTGAATTTTCTGCTTGCTTTGCTCGCATTGGCTGCACTTCGGTTTGTATCAATATTACCCAATTGATAAGCATACGAGAGGCATCATGCTCACTGATTGGCCAATTGTTAATTGACAGATGAATGCAGTCACTTAGGCAAATATGAAGGGTGTGGTTGCAACATTTTTTTGCTCGCTCCGGTCACATAGGCCCTCTGCTTTCACATTTGCCCTAAGGCCTCCAAAATCTCTCGCTGGCCCGGGCTGGCTCACAACTGCAATGGAAAATTTTGGCATCCGGTACACAGGAAACCAACTTTCCAACTTTTGCACACTGAACCCATTCAACTCAACCAGTCAATAAATTAATCAATATATATATTGATAACAGAGCACATGATAACAAGACGAAAATAATATGAACATGTCGGGCAAAAGGTATATAAATATCTATTTTAGATTATATATGATGTGTTGCTGTAGTTTTTCACTAGAATTTTCACTAGAATATTTTTTTTCAAATATTATTGCAGAGGTGCATTTTTGTTGCACAGTGGCCAATGAACACAACCATCCGTGGGAGTCCAGCTTTGCCACTGGGGGTAGGTAAAGAAAATCTCGGCAAGAGGTTTAAAAGATTTCCCTGCCACAAAGTCGCAATCCCGTACCATTTGATTCTACACTCATCTAACTCTCATTTAGATGTACATTTCTTTCACCCAAACACTTCTCTCCTTCAATGGCATTCGTTTCCATGCCATTAGCCGCAGAAGTAAGTACCTCAGAGCCAGACTAAACCTCATTTATTGGTTTCATCAATGTTCAGTGAGCTAATTAAAGCGATAGATGCATGTGGCGATAAAGCGATAGTCGCGAACCAAAATGGAAACTCAGTTGACCATGTACCATCAAAGGAATTATCGAAGCCCTTCCATAAACTACTATAAGATTATGAAGAATTTGAAGCAGAGTTCATTGGAAACAGAAGCAGCGTGAATTGGAAATAGGCTCTAGGGAAATAGGGGAATACTCTGAGAAAGGAATCGATGTCAAAATCAGACACAGTATATTACAGGTGGAATGACCCACCAAAGACAGAGTATTTTACTTTGGCTTTGAAGAAAAATTTGTTTGCCGCTTTGAAGAAAACTTAAAATATGAGCAGATAATGATACTTTATTCAACAGTTTCCACCGTAAAGGCTTTATAGCAGCTCCACTGGCAAAAGCCTAACTTGAAATTTTAGCTTGAAATTTGCTCAGGGGTCCAAAATATCCAACAAGAAATAGCAAAATCTACATCTGCCTAAACTTTGATTAGAATTTACCAACAAGAGTTTCCAATTAACAGGAGCCTTATCATAGAATAAACTTTCCTAAACATTAACTTCTTTCAAGTAGTGCCCCCTTTCGTGACATGGTGCCTTTTCACACATGTGCCTCACCAACTTTGAAATGCTTCCAACATCCCTGTATGAAGATTTGACAAAGTTCTTGAAGTAACAAACAAGGTATATCTTTTTTTCAAAATGATGATTTCCAGTGACAGATGATTTCCAGATACAACAGGTTCTGCCATTGTTCTTTCTACTTTGAAGGTAATTTTCACGTAACAGATTGCAATGCAATATAACCCAAGCAAAAAAAGAAAGACTGAAGATTAAATCAAATGAATATTGATACTTACAGGCCCCATTATGGTTGCTTGCCAATGAAACACTACAAAAGAAAGTCACAATGAAAGTGTCACATTTTTGCATAGAAACCTCGTTGCAGTTCCTTCAACACAGCTTGCAAATCTCATAAATCTCATAAATCTTGACAAAGTTTCCATACATAACCTAACAAGACAAAAATATTTCCTTTCCAAAGCAAAAGAATAATTTTCTCAAGTACATTTTGTTAAAGCAGACACAAATTGTGTTTTTGATTTCTTTTGAACAAAAAATTAGAATTGATGCAGTATATCATCTTACTATCATCTCCAACAGGTCCAGCTGAACATTGCGCAGGAGGATCTCTTTCAATATCTTTATATTCCTAAAAATAAAAATTTAAATCAAATCAAAATAGATGTGAAGTACTGATTACATTTTACAACTTTTTAGACAAAGTAATCCAAACCATAAAGTAATCCGAGTTAGCCATGATTCCTTTAACAAATATTACTGTTATGTATTTTTATTGAGGGAGGGGGGTATGGGGGCGCTGCACCCACTCACACTCTATCCATTGGCACATTGAAGGATTTTTCCAGGAGAAGAAGACTTTTTTCTCACCCTGTAGAATAATTGTTTTAACATTTCTGTAGCAGTTGAAATTTCAAATTATCCCACTAAAGTATGAATTTTGTAATAGAAACATATAAAAGCAGAATATAAGACTATTCATCTTATGGCCACACTCTTTTAAAGAGGCACTAACGCAAAGAATTATAATCATTAAGTGATATTCCGAATGCATGGAGGTTGGTCTATGTAGAAATTTTGTATTTTGTGGGAACAAAATTTTTGTGTAAAACGAGACAGGGGCAGAAATATAGGGTTATGATTTCGGTATAACCATGGTGCGAGAAAGGGTTTGTGCGAGAAAGGGTTTGAGCGAGAAAGGGTTTGTGCGAGAAAGGGTTTGAGCGTGTCATAACACGGGAACAAGATTTGCTTGTATATACCGATGACAATACAAGCAGGAAAGACGTTTCTTTTACTTCCACCTCCACAACAACAGTCAATCGCGTCCTCGATCTTCCATTACAAGCGAAAGGAAAGAAACGATAGCCACCGATTCAACCAGCCGGGGAAATAAGCTCCGACTGAGAACTGCAAAATGACGTCAAACTCTTTCTTTCCGTGCAGCAGACCAGAAAAAAGGTGGGATATCAAAAAGTTATATCCCATATCTTCAAAGTCTCGAAACTTTACTTCCACAGTGAGTGCAGAGAAACAAAAGATATTTTCTAACAACATATGGCTCGTAAATTATCGTTGAAATCTTTGGATGAAAAAGTTTGCGTCAGTGTCTCTTTAAGAGTGAGATACGTCTTTTTTCAGCAAAAGTCATTTCTGTACCTCTTCGAAAAAGTGTTTTGGCTTTGCCCTAGTTCATGCCAACTTCAAATCTTTTATCTACCCATCACACACACGCATTTTTCATAAGGAGCTAGGTTATAGATAAGTACCCGGTTTCTCTATCTTTGCTGATCTCAATGCTTAGTTTCTTAAAGGTTTTTTAAACACCAAAGTTCATAATCTTCAAATATAAATAAAAAACACGTCATCGAAAAACAAGCCAGAATAAGGCCAATGGAAATTTAAGGAATTTAGGATTCTTTGACAAACTTGAGGTATGTTTTATGAGTTTTGACCAAAATGGCTAAATTTGAGGATTTTCAGGGATTTAGGACCGACTGGGAGGCCTGTATTTATTTCAGTTACATTAAGTCTCTTGGTTAAAATTGAATAAGAACATGTAAATTTGATAGCTTTTAGGTTTTCTTTGTTCTATGGGTAGAAATTGAATATACAAATTATGCATTGACACCCATTAACTTTATCTAAGAGAGCCCTTTGTTAAAGAAGGTGGTTAATCTAAGATTTTTAGTTGCATTTTGAAAGCCTGGTTGTGAGAAAAAGAGATTTGGTTTAACATTTCTTGGAAAGATCTTTAGCCCTTTAAAAGGATCTAAAAACTTACAGATTATTTATCATGCTTGGTCAAGTTGCCTTTTAATAGTCGTTAGCATGGCCGCGGAAAGGATCAATGGGCCCTGGGGCAGGACCAAAGATAAATAGCAAGGCGCGTTTGAGGCAGACTCTTCTCGGGGGGTATGGAGGATACTTCCTCATAAATTTTCGATGGTAGACAAAATTGCTCTGGTGGCTTTTTCACTAAAATTTTTCTGGTGGGTATTAGGTGCGTCAATTCAAATTCTATTTAAAGAAAATTGATATATCAGAGCTATTATTATATCTTGCTGTTATACTAACGCCATAATGCATAAAAATAAAGTTTCTTAACCATAAAATATGCATTTATTTAAATTTAAAATATATATATAAACTGGTACACTGTTGCAAATAGATTCAAGTGCCACAATTTGTGTGTCGTACTAGTGCTTAAGGTCTCCCAGGTCCCAGATGCAGTAACAATTTTTAGGTAACATTTGAGAAGCTTTTCAAATTTCGGGCTCAAGCCCACCAAGATGGGAAATATCTTAAGAAAATTATTGCTGGCCCTTTCCACTCAAACAAGGTGGTGCGCAAAAAAATCGCGGCTGTTCAGCCTGCATGCCAAAGTTACATTCTGTCCTAAAAGCAATAGATGAAGTGCAAAAAGCTTTGTATCTCTCCAGAATCAAAAACGGACATTGCTAGCTTGTGAAACATTTGAAGGTCGTTCAAAGCAGTAATCTTGATAATTGGCCATTTTGCAGATGCAAGGCCAGAAAGGCATTTCTTAAATACATTCACTGATAACGAACAATCGTTTTGATAATTTACCAGAAAATAACCTAAAGCTACTAGCTCTGTTTGAGATAACATAATGGGTTTAATACTGTTTCTGCTTCTACTAAATTTCATTCATAGGCTTTTGTTATTATTGTTACTATTATTGACAGGTTGTGATAAAGAGGCCGAATCAGCACTTCTAAATTTTTAACTGAGTTAATATTTATGGGCCCCTTCAGCCATGGGCCCCTTCAGCCATGGGCCCCCAGGTCAGTGACCCCTCAAATTGGAGGCAACACTAACACTGGTCCAATTGCAGACAGGTTCTTCAGCTCCAAGCATAGGGCTTCAGCTCCAAGCATAGGGCTTCAATCTGCAACGTCATTCGTAAATCGTCTGACCGTGAAGCATTTGCAGAATTGTTGTCTTATTTCAACAAAATGCTGTCTATCACCCAGCAATGTGATGTGACAAAAATTGTTTAGGTAGAAATGGTTAAGTCGCTAGGACAGCAATTGTTGGTATACTACAAACAACACTTCCCATTTGCAATGATTGCACCAAGTGTTCATCAAATATGTGCTCATTCGTGGGAGATGTTCTCACTGAGAAATGGGAAGGCAATTGCTATACATACCGAACAGTCTGGTGAGGCTTGGAAAAAGCATATTTGTGCCTACAAATCTGGTCCATCAGCCAGGGCAAGGCAATGTTCAATAAGACTGAACACACTTTATGTATTTACAAGAATGTTAGTTCAATCATATCCGATTATAGCATCAAAGAGAAAAGCGTTGACATGCAAAAGGTGTGAGAAACATGGTCATACTATTCGTTCGTGTCCATTGAATGTGGCAACAGTCAGAGGACGTGTGCAGCAGCTCTGACTGAGGTATCTGTGTTTCTGTGGATTTGAACAAAGTTGAGAAAGCAACGATAACAAATATCTTAGCATTTGAGGCTTTGAATAAAAGTATGATCATGTCGGTAAGCACAGAGAGCGGTTCATGTAAATATGTAATTGCTGAAGCAGCCATTCGAGATTGGTAAGCTTAGGCCCACCGCCTACGTGCACATGATTCTAGGCCTATCGAATCTCAAGTTCATACTGCGTTCTGTTTTTACAAAAATAAAAAAATTAGTTAGTTTCAGAATATGGTTCATTTGGTTTATTGTTTACAAGTCATTGAATTTGTTACAATTTCGACAGTGAGGAAGCTGTTTAGCTGGAAAGCTTTCGGTCCGTTGTGCAGTTATTAACTTGTCAAATTAATGAGGAAATAAAGTACATCAAAAATGAAAATGGTGACATCGAAGCAAGTCTTCAATATTTCTCAAAGGAGATTGAAGACATTCAAGCGAAAGTAAAGTCAGTAGAGGCAAGCACTTCAGAGGCCGTCCATTTAAAATCTCGATCAACGGCCATAGACTCTTTGTATAACCTAAGCGAGTACCTGGAAAATCAAAGCACAAGGAATAACCTCAAGCTGTTAGGAATGCCAGGAAGTGAGTCAGGTGAGACATGGGATCAGTCTGAGAAATTCTTTAAAAATCAAGTAAAGGAATCGTTTATAACTGAAGAAGAGATAGAAATTGAGTGTGCACATAGAGTTGGTCAAAAAAGGGAAATATTCACACGCCCAGATGGGTTTAAGGTGAAAGCCAGGCCCAGACCAATAACTGCCATTATTAAGAACTGTAAGCAGAAAGAGAATATCATAAAAGCTGCAAGATCAATTCGTCTGGAATCAAGTTTATAGGAGATTTCAGCAAAAGAACTTTGGACACGAGGAACGCTTTCGTACCAAAGTTGAAGAAAGCTAGAGAAGCAGGTAAACTTGCCTTTTTTGAGAAATAGGTTGATAATTAAGGATAAGCCCCCAGATGGCAGGCCTCAAAGAAGAAGTCTCCCAAGAGAAGCTCGGAACATAGAGCATCAGTTGTTGATAACATATACACTAAAGCTGCCAATGCCTGAACTGTCTATAGATAGATAAGGTGATAACTCTTTTCAAAAAAGGGAATCCGGAGCTACCATCTAGTTATAGGCCAAGTTAATGAACAGATGACTGTATAGATTCCTTGAACTAAATAATATTTTTTATTCTTTACAATTTGGATTTCAAGAAAACCGTTCCTTTGACCATGCCCTAGTAAGTTTGACAGAAGCTGTGAGAAACACAATTGACAATAAAAGATTTGGTTGTTGAGGAATGAAAGATAATATAGTCAATCACCAATGTTTAATGACAACCTTTTAGCATCAAGCCATTTTTTGTAGCTCTAAGTTCTTTATTAGCAATTTTAAATGAACAAGATAAATCTTTGGATCCACAGTAGATGTTTGTATCATCAGCACAGAGATAGAATTTAAGTTTCTTAGAAGCATTTGGCTGATGTAGATAAGAAGAAGTAGTGGGCCAAGTACAGAACTTTGTGTTTCACCACAAGTAATTGAAATTAAGTTGGAATTACTTCCATTGACAGAAACATAATGCTTTCTGTCAAGGGCACAACCACGTACACCATAGTGCTCAATGTAAACGGCTTTTGATACAGTTAATTAGAAAATTTTGTTATCGAAATTTGAGC